CAGAAGCCTCAGGTAAGTCTCAGGTGGTTACTATGGAGCAGGGATTCTTGTGAAGTAAGGTATCATGCAGGTACCCCCAAAATGCCAGGCAGTGGAAGGATTTCAGGAAAATTTATTCCAAAGTTGAGAACACCAGATTTAACAAAGGAAATCTTAATGGTGCTTTGAACACCAGGCCTGAGAAAGACCTGCCCCTCTGCTCCTCCTTGGGCTTTATCATCACACAATTTAAAATCAGAATAATAATGTTAATAATCAGAACAGCCACGGTGCTTTCTATGCAGAATCCCACTAAAAGTGCTTCTCTAGTTCCAACTCCCAGTTGTTAGACACCAGATCAGTTATTACTGGGTCAGAACCAGAGCAGATAAAACCAAGGGCACGTGTTTGCCTCATGCCACAGCCCTGCCATTGGACTGGTGAGAGCTGCTCTACAAGGCTATGGTGGTAGTTACATGATCTGTCTCTCCCTTTCTCCTCTCTTCTTGTTCCTTCTGCTTGTCTTTCTTTGCTCCTTTCTTGATGCTTAGGGTGGTTTGGAGCTGGAGGGATTGGATCTCGATTTAGGTGTTGTGGAAGTGGTTGGAATTTGCCTCAAGTGTTGTGGATTTACTGGATTTTGCCTTAAATGTTGTGGTTTAACAGTATATGCTAAATCAGTATCATAGAACATTTGTGGGGTGTCCTCTTGAACTTGGGCCAAGTCCCCTTACTTGCTCCCCTAAATTAATAAAGAAATCCCTTGGGAACAAGCCCGTGGCTGCTTCTCTTGATGCCATCTCAAGGTATTAATGAACCCAAATTTATATATCACGGTCTTAAGCTGTGCTAGGAGAAGTTTAGGTTGGATATTAGGAAGAAATTTTTTACAGAGAGGGTGATCAGCCATTGGAATGGGCTGCCCAGGAAGGGGGTGAGTCCCCATCCCTGGAGGTGTTTAAGATGAGACTGGATGTGACATCAGTGCCATGGGCTGGGAACTTACTTCAGTAAACAGTTGGAGGTTGGGGGGGGAGTGAATTAGAGGAAATCCTTTTCCCTGAACACTCCCATGAGAGAAAGACTGCTTACCTATCAGCCTAAGGGCTCCTCCTGGACTGAATTAAGGGAGAGGCTTAGAAGGATGATAGACGTGTGCAATATTGTGTATATATATATATATATAGTTGCTTTTAGCTTATACAGTATTTAATTTGTGTAGAATAAATGTATATATCTTCCCTTCCCTATCCCCCTACAGAGGTGTGTCTGCCTGAAAGTTTCTCTTTGGTGCTGAGGTAAAATTGTGGGAAGGGGTGGGGGAAGGCTGGAGATTGGATTTTTACTTTTTGTGGTGGTTCAAACCACCACGGGTTGGACCAAGGGTTGGACTCGATCTTGGAGGTCTTTTCCAACCCGGTCAATTCTATGATTAAAGTCAAGCTCCCGGCCAAGCCAGTGAGGCAGCAGCTCCTGGGGCTGGAGGTATCCCTGGCACACCCTGGGGGTGCCCTGGGGGTGCCCAGGCGTACCTGCGAGCTCGCTGACGGCGTAGGGCTGCCGGTTGTTCTTGCGCAGGTTGGTGTGCACGAAGTTGACGACGTCGGGGCGGATCGGGGCCTTGAACACGGCGGGAAGGGACACGTTCTTCCCCGAGGCCTCCCCCTTCTCCGAGTACACCGAGATCAGCGGCCGAGCACAAGCCTGGGGAGGAGGAACTCTTAGCACAGGGACAGGGAATTCCTCAATGCCTGGCTTGCCAAGCCCTCGGTATTGCTCAGAACTGGGGAGTCGTCACCCGGCAGCGCCAGCGCACCGACAGCAGGCAACTGTCACTGAGCACTGGGTAGGACGCAAATTACGTCATCACAGCAATACTGCCCCTCCACGGGGGAGTGGGAAACTCCACAGCATGACCCACAGCCAGAAACTACAGCCAAGGATTCAAATTTCATAGATTTCCAAGGAATTTTGGCGGAATCGCTCCAGCGCTGAACCTCTGCGCTCTTTGATAAACACCTTCTGAACTACTGCCCACCTGCTGTTAAAAAGCCCATGGAAAACCCACATGTGGTTATTTAGATATTTTTTTATTAATATTAGCATTACTTAGGTTTTAAATTTCACTGATTTCCAAGGAATTTAGGCAGAATTACTCTAGGATTGAATCGCTGCACTCTTCTAAACTAATACCCACCTGCTGTTAAAAAGCCCATGGAAAACCCACCTGTGTTTGCTTAGATATTTATTTATATAATTTATTTATTAATATTAGCATTATCTAGGTCTCAAATTTTATAGATTTACAAGGAATTTGGGCAGAATTACTCTAGGATTGAATCTCTGGGCTCTCTGATAAACACTTTCTAAACTATTTCCCACTTGCTGTTAAAAAGCCCATGGAAAACCCACCTGTGTTTATTTAAATAAATACTTATTTAGATAATTAATTAACATTATTTATATTATGTTTAACAGCTCAAATGCTGTAACCAACTTCTCCAACACAATTCAGACACTCACAATGACTGCAGACCATCAAACGGTCAGAATGAGTTTTTTGTGAAGTCTGGGCTCCCTGAAAAATTCCTGGTGTTTAAAAGTTTGCAAGGTGAAGATTTAAACTGCCCTCCGCATCAGCTGCCTGAAAAAGAGGCTGAAAGGATGCCCCAAAATAGCCTGCCAGTGCGAACAGCATCCTTTAAAAAAAAATCTTTTAGCATTGAACTGTATTGACTATTAATTAATCTTGTGGCAACAATAGAGGCAAAGCATATTCCTTCCCTTTCCCATCCAAAATTCGTTTTGGAAGCATTAAAAATACTAAACCCCTCAAAATTAACGAGCTCGTGGCAATGGAAGTGCCGTCTGTGCCTGTGACACTGGTCACTAGCAGCCTCTGGCCTGCTGTGGGTGCAGAGATCCCAACACAAGCACCAAACTTGACGTGAGGGAACCAGAGCACAACCTGAACTGTTATTGGCAGGAAAAGTTGTTCATCTGCAAACTGGTTCCAGACCAAAGCCTCCTAAAGCCTGTTTTGCAATGAAATAAATTAAAAAAAAAAAAGAAAAGAAAGTTAAGAAACCACAAATAGGGCGTTTAGAGAAGCCGTTCTTTTTCACTCTACGTGGACCCAAACGCTCCCGTGGGGCTTGTTTTGCTTTAGACTAATACGTGAGGTAAATAAAAGGCCCTGCCAGGCGGCGATATGGGCCCAAACCCCGCTCTGCCCTAAGAAGGGGGGGCTTTGGGCCACCAAGCCGAGCTCTGGCCCAGCCCGTCCCGGTCCCCATGCGGCCGCTGAAGGCCCAAAATGGCGCCGCTGCTCCAGCCGCAGCGGGCCGGAGCGCTGCCCGGAGCGCTGCCGCGCGCAGCCCCGCTCCCGCCCAGCCCAGCCCCGCTGCCCGCCCGGCTCCCCCGGGCCCCTCACTCCCGTTTCCGTGTTCCCCCGTCCGGCGCTCCCTCACATGGCGCGGTGCGGAGCTGCTCGTGGCCGTCTGCGCCGCGCCCGCCGGAAAAGAACGACGCCTCACCGCCTTAGTTTATGACCAATGTCCCTCGCGCCGTGCGCGCCGCTTTGCCGCGCGCGCCGGTCGAATCCCGACCCAGCCCCAACTCAACCGGTCCCGTCAGCCCGCTCTCTCCGGCCGCGCCTCGGTCTCCTGGTGCCCGCCCGCGCCCTTCGGCCGCTCTGTCTTCTCCCCTTCCAAAGCGGGGATTCTTTTCCGGCGAGGATCCGGGCGGCCCTCACCCTCCCCTCACAGCTGCTCCCGTAGCTCCGGCGCGCGGGAGTGTCGTTGTTGGCGGGAGATGGCGGAGGGCGGCAGAGGGGCGCGAATGCGCTGGGCGAGCTCCTGCGGCGGTGAGCAACGGCTGTTCCGGCTATTCCCGGGGCTGGGCGGGCTCTGCAACGGGGGGACCGGGGCTTCCCCGGCGATGATTCCCGAGCTGGCCGGGCTCCTGCGACGGTGGGACCTGGGGTCATTCCTGGGGCTGGGCGGGCTTCTCCCCAAGTGGGTACCGGGGCTGTTCCCGGCGATATTCCCGGAGCTATTTCCAGACTGTGCGGGCTCCTGTTCCCGTGGGGATCGGGGCTATTCCAGGGGCTGTTCCCGGGGTTGTGTGGGCTCCTGCTCCCGTGGGGATCGGGGTCGTTCCCGGGGGTCTCCGCGCTGAGGGATCTGTGGCCCCGGCGGAGGCGCCGGTTGTGGCGGTGTTTAATGTGTGTGGGTAACTTGCTGTTTAGTTAGGAATGGTGAGGGGAAAAGGTCACGTACGTCAATGTTTTCTTTCAGAATATGTGAAGAGGGAAGGGAGAGTGTCCTTGAACGTCCATATCTCTACGAGGTAAAATCATAGAATGGTTGTTTTAATGGTTGTATTAATCTTGGGATTTTTGTAAGCTTGATAATAGTTTAAAAATAAAATCAGGTGGTTATTTAAATATATAGTAATATAAAAAAAACAGATTAGATATAAAGATTCAAGCAATGCTTCTCTGCATGGGAAAGCTTAAGTAAAAATTGATATTCCTTTATTCTTGAGAAAGAATTGTTTGTTGGTTTTTTTTTTAATGTCTCCAAACAATGTTTAGAGCTCTCGTGAGACGGTCAAAGAAGCAACTGATTGATATTTGATGTTACTTTAAAAGAGTATTCTCCATCTCAAGGCTATCTGGTGACAGCAGTTGATAATTCAGTGTTCCCTCATAGTTCAGATTCTCTGAAGTTTTGTTCATAGAACCAAATTTTAGTCTGTCCTAGAATCAGCTGGTTGGAATTTAGATTTTCTGTGATTGGCTGAAAATTGTTGCATTTTCACAGTCGATTTGATTCCACCCATGGCATGCAGTGCCTGTGTTCTCCTCAGGTAAAATAGCCTGGGATTCTTGAATGGATGCAATAGGGTTGGAAAACAGGCTGTGGAGTTAGTTAATTTTGCAATTTCTGGTATAAAAAATTACTGGAAGGCAGCATTTCTCTGTACTATATTAAGAAGTTTTAATTATTATTTTCCAGACTGACGTGGAGATCTGTTTGGTTGGTGGCAGTTGCAAAAGTCCTGTTGAAAGATTTTGGAATGGGAGCAGCACAATGTATATTTTGCAGAAGGCAGTAAGTTTGTGTGCCAGTTGTTGATTTTTTTAAATGTAATCCAGGCTTTTGAATTCCCATCAAATATTTTCACACACTTTGCAGTTTTTGATCTACCTACACTTTTCTCTTAAAGACACACCATGAAGAAGGTGACTCCATGGAAGAATCAAAACCAGAGGAAGCTCTTTTTCCCTCTGAGCTTTTGCCAAAGGAGAGTCCTGGACCAGCAGCTCTTTCTGTGGGAAGAGCAAAGTAAGTCTCAAAGATTTCCCTGCCCTACTGATGTAGTTTTCCTTTGCAGCTTTTGTCCCTCTTCCTAATATTCAGAACCTCTGTTGTTTTCAATCCCCCAAATAAAATTGCTCGTTAGTTTGTGAGGAGATTTTACCGTTTTCCATCCTGAAAAACTGTCTCCCCTGGTTAAAAGTTTTTAACAAAGGAGCTCAAATCAAGTTACTGGAAAAGCATTTGTGAGCTGTGCCATTGGGTTCATGGGATTCACTGGGTACAGGACACCAAAAAAAGCTTGCTAAGACTTCAGTGCTTGTTTTTTTGCTAAAGGTTCTGTTAAAAAAATCTTAAAAATTGGGGTTTTTGCTGTTGTTAAAATACCAAGTCGTGGTACCAAAATGGGGTTTACCTAACTGATATATTTTAATGAGCTTAAGATGTAAAATACAATATGATTTTAGACTCTTCAGTCAAAATTAATATGTTGATTATATTTTGAAGTATGATATTCTAGACTTCTTCCTTTGTGACTTTATTGTGCTACCTCTAAAAAGAGGGTTACAATCCTGCATTCCTCTTGTAAAATGATTTGAGTCTGCTAACAAAGCATGATAGAGAGGAGTCAAGTTTTAATAAGGGACAAATTTAGGATATTTGCTGGCATCTAATTTTCCTCCTGTTCCCATTTCTAGGCAGTTGGTTTCCTTATATGCAATGGTGCAAAATCCAAACGTGACCCACCTGGGAATAGGGGACCTGGTGCTTCCTCCCCTCTGGGTCAGGTGTGATGGTTCTGATCCTGAACACACCTGTTGGATTGGAGCTGAGCCTCTCAGAGCTGGAAAGAAGATCACAGGGATCACGATTTACATGGTGTCATGTGATGGTAAGGTTTTCTGTTGCACATCAAATTAAATGAGGAAGGCTCAAAAATGTGGCAATTCTGATGTGACAACGCTGTGTTTGCTCTGTCTGTGATGTTGGCTTGGGAATGCTCTGCATTCTTGGCTTTAAAAAACAAAAGGAGGTTAAAAAAAGAGAGAAGAGATGTTTTTAACCAGTGCTGTGTGGGGAAAATAGCTTTTTAATAGAATTAATGCAGCTGTATCTGTGCAATAACAGCACATTTAAACTGCTGCTATTCAGCTTCTTACACAACCACTGACTCACACTAAACACTTCTGTGTTCACCCAAGTTCTTACCAACAGGACAAATGCAAGGAGAATCCCTGTTTTCTAAAGGATATCAGGAGTCATTCTTGACCAAATGGAGCATTTGAGAATGAATTTTAAGTGTCACATTGAGTTGTGTCAAATGGGGGTTTTTGATTCTCACGTTTTTCCTTTCCTAGGTCCTACAGCTGATAAAACCTGTTTTGCAAACCTGGAGGAGCTCAAAATGGAACATAAAAGAAGACATCATTCATCTGTGGTAGGTTTTTACACTCTGTCATGGCTTCAGTTTCAGTTTAAAAGCTCTTATTTTGGGATTTGTGATGCTGGTTTGGAGAAACTTTATAGATTCTATATAGAAAACTCACCTTAGTATGATCCTGTAGTACAGCAATCTGCCCTGAGGTACCATTTGTAATGCATTTGTCTGATATTAACCCTTTTTTGTGTTTTTGTGAAATGCTTTTGCAATCGTTTTGCCTGCACACAAACCCATCAATGCTGTGGCGGTTTTGTTGGTTTTATTTTTCAATCTGTTCATTCTCAGGTGACAACCAAAGGATTTGCTCAGTATGAACTGATCCAAGTTGCTGCAATGGAGGACACCATTGTAGAATCTGGAGGCAATATCTATGTTGATATTACATGGAATATTGTTGATAAGATTCTGGAGACTCCCCCACTGATTTCAGCTGCCACTCTGGTAAGTCCAGCTGGGAAAAGCAAACAAACCCGAGCTCTTTGCACAGATTACATCATGAGCAGTGTAAAGGATAGAAAATAAAACACCAAAACCTGTTCATAATGTAGACTGTGAATTATGCTGACGTGCCTTTCACCAAGGACAGTTTTAGGATTGATTTCTGAAGTTTGGAACTGACTTTAACTTGTGGAACTTGCAGAACATTGCCCTGGAGTCAGGGGATCCCAGGAGTCCTGTGTACCAGGTGTATCGGGAGCTGCAGCTTCTCCTGGTAAGTACAAGGAAGAAATTCCAGTTTCAGATTCACATGGACTGATGATTTTATGTGTTAATAACTCACTTTATTTAAAACTTCCTCACCTGTTTCGAAGATAACTCTAAGCTTTTATTTTAAAGGTTAAGCTTCGAGTTCAGTTTTAGTTTTGGAATACAAAGAGGACAACTCATCCAGAAATCCTGGAAGTTTCTAAATTCCTGGTTATCTGTGCAGAGATTTATGATTCTTACAAAGTTACCTGCATTTTGAAGTGTGACTCGTGCAGAGCCTCCAGCAAGACCTGATTTGTTGTGTTGATTCTCACGCTGCCTTTAGGCTTTGGCTGAAGGTTTGAAGACAGGTGTGACTGAGTGGCCTGAGCCTCTGGAGTCTGAATCAGCTGTTGAACTGGTCCAGGAATTCCTGACTGGTAATGGCTGCTTTTTCCCTGGGGAGAGGGATTTCACATGGCACAGAAATAAAAGCAAATGCCACATACAATTTCTAAAGCATCAGAACTAGAGTTGTTAATTTTTGGGCTGTAACCTCCTGCACAGAGTGGTTAAATAGCTTAGTAAAGATCTGTCATTTTACTTTGTCCTAATATCATGTGTAAGAGTAATTATAATAAAAACATATTTTAAAAAAATATATCCTTTCAGGCTATATCCTTACCCAGTAAAACCATTTTTAAAATGAACACTTTTTTTGTCTGTTAGTTGTGTGTTTTTATGATGTGCCTGGGGATTAATGAGAGTGGTTTGATGATATTTCTTTTTCATGGTGGTAAAATTTGTTTCTTTTCCTCTACCAGATTTAAAGAAGAAGCTGGATGGAGACTGTGGGTCTGGGAGCAAGGGTGAAACAGAGGTTTGTGCAATTTCCTAACTATGTAAAAATAATGGGAGAAGGTCTAACAGGCAATTCTATCATTAATTTGCTTTTCTTGCCTAATTTAATGATTTCGGGTCAATATAATGGTATCAGCTGGATGTCTGTTCTATTTATTAGAAGTTTATGTTATTTTAAAGCAATGGGCAATTTAACACATAAAAATGTGTTTGGTTATGTTAAGATTTTTTACCTTTCAATCTACAAGGAAAGGTTTAGGTCTATTTTCTTTCAAGAGAGAAGTAGCATTTTGTTGACAAGCTAAAAATATTTTGATTTCTGGATCAACCAAACCACTAATATTTCTTATCAGGAAAACAGGCAGTTAGTTCTGTGTTCTGAGATTTTGGATGGATTTTGGCCTCTCAGGGCACTGCTGGGTGTACAGACAACACTTGGCTGGGGTGTAAAGTCTCTCTGACAGGAGGCTTTGCTTCCTCATCCAAGGCCAGCAGTTGTCCAGTGTGATAATTCTGGAAAGAATCAGACTCACTTTTAAATAAAAATATGCTTCCAAATTACTATGCAGTGATAGTTTCCCTGGAAAAGGGGGAAAGTTAGTGATGCACCCAGTTTTGATCCCTGGAGAAATTAAGATATGGACAGTTTTTGAATCTCAATCCCCTTTTTTACTGAAGACCAACAAACTCTTTCAGAAAATCCAGTGTGACACGGCTGCAGTGGACAGTTACATCAAATCCATCTTCAGTGAGAGAGGAGACCTGGATTTTGCTGAACAGTTATGGTGCAAAATGAGAAGTGAGTGTATTGTGAGGTTTTCCTTTCCTTCCTCCCTTCTCTGTGTCTGCTGGACCACATTGCTCTGTCAGGGAAGAGGATGAACATTTCTGAGTTTCAAGGACTGATCAGCTCTTCAGAGAATTGGTGTGAACAGACTCCAAAACAGCTCATTTTGGGGGTGTGAGGTGATGTACTTTCTCACAACATCCAGCAGCAGCTCCTGGATTTTATTTTGTTTGACTGTAAACAATTGGTAGTGCCCATCTGCTCTGAAACAGAAAAATAATTTCTATAGTTTTCATTTTAGATCAGAAGGACAATTTTCAATGTAAATAGAGAGAATGCTGCCAAAATCCGTGTATGACAATCTGCTGCTGCCATGCTCTCAATCATACACAGTTCAGTGCTGGCTGATCATTTTTAATTTGTAGTAACCTTTTTTAAAGCCATCATGTGACAAAGTTACCAAAAAGCAGTGCAGTCTGTCATTTCAGCTCTCATTCTTTAATTAAAGGATTTTATTCTTGTGTGTTGGCTTATTGTTACTGACTTAACAGTCCTGGACTGATAATTAAATGATTGTGTCTTTTTTTTTTCCCAGGTGTCAGTTCCTACCAGGAGTTGATAGACTGTTTCACACGGGTCATAAAATCCCTGGAACGTGGGGAGATCCAGCCCTGGGTGTGTGTCACAATAAATCTTGACATTTTGAGTAGTAACACATATTTCCTGTCACTTCACTGCCCTCAGTTGTGTTACAGTGTTTTTAAATTACTTCCCTGTGTCACAGCTTGTTTCTGTTTCTATTGTTGTACTTCCAAACAATGTTTCTGATGTTTCACCTCACAAGGGAACTTCTTCCATGTCCAGATTCATCAGGGGAGCAGCAGCTTCCTACGGAAGTTAATCCAGCAGTCCTACCATGGGAAGGTGGAGGTGGTTTCCCTCAGTGGCATCACTCCCATCCAGATGCTCTTTGAGATTGGCTTGGATAAGATGAAGAAGGATTATGTCAGTTTTTTCATAGGTGAGCCTGAGACCTGTTACCTGATCAGGAATTCAAGAGAAAAGCTATTCCATGCAGGAATAATGAACTTTTTGGTAACCTCCATCTCTCTTCCCATCTGCTGAAGTGCAGTTTCCAGCCTCCTTAATAATTGAACTTTTCAGTTGTACAGGGTTTCAAAATTTAAAAAACTGGAGCTTTGTATTTTACCCTTGGTGTTACCCCCTTCATTTCTTCATTCCTGCTTTGCTCTGTCATCCTGTTTTCATTCTTTAACTTGCTTTTCTGTTTTCACTGCTTGTAAAGCTGTGTGTCCCAAGGAGGCTGGTTGTGTGAAAGTGTGGGGTGGCTTTCTTCACTGTGCAGCCTTTTTGGTAAATAAAATCGTGCCTCTTGGCCACCTGGCAGGTTTTTTTTTTCTTGTTTTGAAGAACAATCCTGTCCATAAATAACATTCCATTTCTGGTGACTTTGCACTTTTCTTCAGTAGAGTTCCCTATCTGATTACCTGAATCTTGCTTATGTTTCATCTGATACTATGTGTTAAATTTTAATTATTTTTAATTTCTCCTGTTCATTTTACAGGTCAGGAACTTGCAACATTAACCTACTTGGTGAGATGCTTTATTTTTATTTTGAAACTCTGAAAGCAGTTTAAAGTATAAAGTAAAACAAGCTCAGCTGATGGGGGGGTGAAAGTCATGTCATACTTATCAGCTGAGAAACTGAATTGCAGATCATGAGGTTGGAACAGCAAACTGCAGGAATGTCATTGTTTTGTTTAATATAATACATAATATATATTATATTTTCTCTCTATATTATATATAATTGGTTTGGTATCTGAGAGAAGTTGCTGTCAGGGCAGTGAACCTTCATTCACACTTTGATGGAACTTTGTTCTGAGTCTGCTGGGCCTCTCTTAAAATTTTGGCTTTTCAAAAGAAGCAGGAGGATTATTTTAGTTTACTGAGGATGTGCTGTTTGTCTGTAGAAACTCAGTGCTCAGGTAAGAGCAGAAGCTCTTTGCTCTTCCAGGATTACTTCACTTCCACATCAGTGGATCTGCAGGAACAAGTTCATCGTGTTCAAAAGCTCCACCATATGCTGGAAATAATGGTCAACTGCAGAGTCTTACTCCAGTTCAGACATGAGAACCTCTTCCCTTTGACACAGTAACTCTTGCATTTTTACTTCTTGCTCTTTAAATGACAATAAGAAATAGAATTTCTTTGACAGTTTTAAAGAAACACTTAAAAAACCCAGCTCTCCTTAATGGTGGTTGTGAGACTGCAGGAGGAGCAGCTGGATCTTGCTGCTAAATGTTGCTTTGGGACTAAAACTGAAAACTAAAGGATATATTGAAATGTTGGGAGTATAGCTAATTTTGCACAAGCATTTCTCCAAAGAAATTAACTGGTTGATATATACTGTAGGATTTGCATGAAGTATTACAAGGAAAACCCTCTCAACGAGAAACATGTGTTTCAGCTGCCCATCAGACCAGCTCTTGTGAAGAAATTCTACCAAGAGTAAGAGAAACCTCAGTGTTTGCAGCATTCAAATTCAGATGGGACTGAATTTTGATGGCTTTTTTTATTCTCTCAGTGAACACCCTGAGTTATGGAAGGTGGAGATAAGCAGTGGGCACGGAGCAAAGGAGGTGAAAACAATGTGGCAAGTCAGTACTAATCCTCCTGTGGAACATGTGGCATCAAACAATTCAGGTGAGGAATGGTTGGGATGAAACAAAGTCATGAGGGGACACCCTTCAAACAAATTCAGTTTTTATACTGAGCTCAGTGGGTCTGAAGCTTTTTGTACTTACATTTACTTTTCATCAAAACAAAATGATGTTCTGCCTTTTAATGAAAGAGCGGGGTGGTATTTACAGAGTTGAATATTTTTAGAAAGCTGTGACTTTCTGAGTTATGTTTTTAGAGCTGAAATGACAACACAGTTCCAAATATGATTAAGTGTTACCCAGAAAATCTTGCAACTTATTTCTAAAATCTTTGCCAATGTCTCAGAATGGTTTTGAAGAGAAATTTTCCTGTTAGGATTGGTCTGGAGTCAGGGAGGAGAGCAGGTGCTAAGGGGAGAATCCATTCCTTACTGCAATCACATGTAGAACAAGTGAAAAGAAATCATTTGCTTTTTTGGGGTGAGGTTTGACAGAATGTGCTGATTTGGTAAAACTCTCCTGTTGGTGCTGATTTTTGGCACAAAGTCCTTGGGTGAGACTGAAGTTTGGGAAGCAGTTTGGAAGCTGCTCCATGAGCTGATCCTGCCATTTCCAAGAACTGTGACTAATCCCAACCTTCCCCTTTGTCCTCCCAGGTCTCTTCTCTGACTCCACAGTAAATGGGAGCCCTGAAGAAAGGCTGTATTTTATCACAGTGACCAAGTGCAGTCAGGTGCATTTCACATAAATCCAGGTTAGTCTGCAGGAAAGGTACAGTAAAGGCAAAGTTCAGTGTCTTCTGTGTCCCAACAGATTATTTAGGAACACTGATTTAAAGAACAGCTCCTCTCACTGAGTTTTTGGCTTTAATGTGCTTAAGTGGGACCTACACAGCCACAATTCATCTGTAGGCACTTCTTTTGTTTGTAAATATTGTGCATTTAAGCCTGTACAGTATAAATATTTTGAAAATATAGGGTTTTTTTGTTGTTGGTCTTATATTTACAAGCATTCAATAAAGTTTTGCACTTTGGGGTTTCATCTTTTATTTCTGTTCATTAAAAGTGCAATCAGACACTGTTCAAAGGGTCCATTATCTTAACCAACAAACCAAGCAATAATGTCATGTTTTCCTCACATCAAGTGATGCTTCATCATCCTCACAGGTTTGGAAAGCTGTTCATCCAGGGGCCTGGGATCTTCTGACAATCTGGTTTTCTTTGTCCCTGTGTTGATATTTTGGAGTGTTTATATTTGGGGGTATTCTTGGATATGCTTCCCTCTCCTCTTCAAATGATTTTTTCTTTCCTTCAATGTGAAGTGAGTTATTTTATATATTAGCAGTGTTGTCTTGTATGTTTTGCATAATTTTTGAGAAGAAAATCAGTATGATTGGCTGGGCTTAATCACTTAAATCTGTTGGGTTGGCAGTTGCAGGTGTTAGGTTGGTTAGATTGGGTATAGTCTGATTTTAAAAATCCCACAGTTTATGCTGACTAAATAATTTGAAACAGAAACATTCTGCAGAAAGAAACTTAACTATGGATAAGTAAGAATAAGCAAAACTCCAGTATTCATGCCTTTAAAAACTAAATTTCAATCATTTCTGGTTTCCCCTCAGTAAATCTTATTTCTTACCCCTTTCCTAATATTACATCTTAATAAATATCCGTTTAATATTTTGAAGAAAAGCTTTAATTTTGTATTTGAAAATTAGGTGCCTGACTCTCTTCCAGTAGCAATTACATGGTAATTAAAAGCCTAGTGATGAACAAGACTGAAATCAGAATTTGCAAGCAGCTTTTAATCCCTTGAAATTTGTACTGTCAAGGTTGGAATCACTTTAATCTGAACTGTATTTCTGGTGAACAAATCTGTAATAGTTTCCCAAATAATACCAAATGTAAAATCTCCTACATCAAATCAGTAGAAGTTGATGTAGAAAGAGAAAGTACTTTGGGTTTTGATTGAAAAAAAAAAGTGGTATTTTGGGAATTGAGCAGAAAAAGCTCTAAAAGCTTAGGTGGGTAAGTAAAGTTTCTTTACAGGGGTTTAAAAAGAGGCATCTGTGGTGAACTTTAACCCCTCAAAACAGCTGCATCTTATTCCTTTTGCCCAGTGAAAGTGTGTGAATGTGTAATTTTAGGTGTGATTTCGAAGGTAGAATATGAGTAGGACAATACAGATGAGGATGCAGAGTGTGAAAACTGTAGGAAGAACAATCTCTGTCACCATTTCCATGTGAGTAATCAGGGAATCTAGAATTTGAGAAATGAGGAATATGTAAGAAATTTATTCCTTTGGAGTGCACTAAAAGAGAGTTTGCATAAATTAAGGATTTTTTTGAGCATAAAATTGTTGACATTGGCATAAACAGCAAAGAAAACAAACAAAATTTCAGCAGTCTGCAAAAGCTGGAGCAAATCCATGACAGTTTTCCCCCTTTTTTTCTTTCTGAGGTAATTTTTGGAAGACATTCAGGGCTCAAAGGGCTGTAAAAATGATGTTTGCTAGGAATTAGTTTCAGTGTATTAACAGTATTTTATCATGCCTTTGATTTTTATTCCCTCCACCTGAAGGGGAAAGGGTAGAAAATTGTCCAAGAGAAATCCTTGGGAGGCACTTGGGCCCTTTTTGTGATTGTCCTGTAGCTGTTTGAAAAATCAAAAGGGTTTTATTAAAAGGGTAGAATTTTATCCCCCAGGAAAGCCTGGAAGAGCTCAGGAAACCCAGTTCATTCCCACAGAACATGGAACTCGGGAGCTGAGGCTGAGCAGGATAAACTTGGGATGACTGACCTTTCCTACCATGTGGAATTTAGCTCATCCTCCTTGTAAGACTCCATAACACTAATTTATCTTTCTTAAAAGCTGCAGAAACCCACTGGGGTTGATTGTTTAACTCAGGAATTGTGGAGGGGCCTGGATTACCCCAGGAATGCTGGCTGAGCCTGGCACTGGAAGCTGCAGAGCCTCCAGTGTTCCCTGTCCTTGAGCAGCTGCTCTGAGCTGCTGGTGGCTTTGTTACCAGAGTAAAACTTGGCTTAACCTTAGGCCAGGCCTTGGCCCTTTTCTTTTATGGTTGCACTTTGTGTAGAAATCAAACACTTAGAGATTTTCTCTCTGGGTTGGTTTGTGTTTGCAAAAGCATTTAGCACTTTTATTTTCAGGAGAACCCTGTCATCCCTAACCTCGGTTTTAAGCAGGATCTCTTCCAGTTCGTGTGTTCCACCAAGATCCCAAGTTAATCCATTCCCCTACAGTGGTTTTAGTTGGAGAGAGTAAATAAACACATTTTTCTTTAGAGGCTTTTTGTGCTTTCAGGGAGAAAATCCCTTTTAGGACCTTGTTAGTAGGACTGTTCACAGAGAAATTTAAAATCTGGAAATTCCATAAAGTGCTTTTGTAAAACAAAAGCAGACCCATCCTTACCTGCAGCGAGGAGATGGTGTGTGGAAGAGCAGGAGTCCATGGCCTTCCTGTACCAGTTTTCCACCTGGGAAGGTCGACAGCAGTTCTGTTACAGTGCAAGATTCTGCCCCTTCTCTGTCCCTCAGCACTTGTCCACTATAACAGACTCGAAACTACTTTATTCTCTCAAAATCTCAATGATTTTCTCCAAGTTCCTTCGTGTCTCTGTGGGTTTTGTTGCAATATATTTCTCCAAGTTAATTGTTTAATAAGATTTTTAAAATCACATCATGATATGTACTACCTTGCTGCAAAATGATATGGAATATATGTAATTTTCTACCTAGAAATCTGACAGGGCACTGCTACCTTCTGATTCAGTAATTCCAATTAGAGTTTTTGGAAACAGTAATCGAGGCTGTTCCCACTTTCAGTGTCTGTGAAACACATCCCTAATTTACACAACCCAAGTATCACTTCATGTACCATATTCAGACAAGTTTCCTGAAATCCTATGAGATATTTGCCCGTGTATTGAAGAAAAAAAGAATAAAACCAGCAGTTCACATCACCTCTCTTGGATTTGGGAATCCATTGGCACTGATAATCTTTTTATAATAGTCAGCAGATGCCTTTGGGTACCGTGGCTTGTTCTTGTTTTTGAAGTCAATGTGGTAAAGCCCAAATTTTTCAGAGAATCCTTTGTTCCATTCGAATTTATCCAGCAGGGACCAGGCAGTGTAACCTTTCACATTGACTCCATCATTGAGAGCTGCAAACACAAACCAAAAGATTCTGGGAAATGTGTTTGTGGTACTTCAAATACTCTGTATTTAAGTCTGTAGGTGTTTGGGTTTATACCAGGAAGAGATGGGGAGGAGGACAGGAAAAAAGCAAAGTAAAAAGTCATTTGGAGTCTTTAAAAATGCTGTCTTTAGCTTAGAGGTCCCAGAGCTTTGTGAACGTGGTAATTAAGTGCAATTTCTCCTTTTTGAACATGGAAAAACTGCTGATCTGTTGCAATATTAAATCTCATGGAGGTTATTATGTTTATTAGCATCAGTAGATTTGCTTCCATTGTCATTTTGCTGACAATTTATCATCTCCTTTCACCCTTAGATATTTATTTCTTTACGATGTAAAAGACAAGTAGAGATAACCAGAAGGTGAAAACACTCAAAAAGTCCAACCCCTAAAAGGTGTTTTAAGTTACCTTTGAGTATCTCATTGATGTATCCCTTCAGGTACTGGATCCTGCCCTCATCACACAGCTCAGTGCACTGGGCTGCCTCAGACACCCCGTTCTCTGTCACATAAATGAGGGGGTTCCCATACTGGGTCTGCAAACAAGGGGGTTTACATAAAATAACTTTATTTTGACAACACAAAGCTAGAAAAAAATGCCCTAAAAGCGATTTTCTAGGTTTACTTAGTAAGAAAAAGGTAACTAGGAATTTAATATAACTACAGTTTTATTTTAAAAGGAAACCTCCCAGTGTGACAAGATAAATATTTAGGGGGGAACTGTTGAAAATCAAAGAGTGTAAATGCAGCTCCTGTGTGTAACCAGGCATTTTGTTGGCTCTTTTTAATTAAAGATCTCCTCTACTCACCTTGATGAAGTTGAGCAATCTTCTGAACCCCCAGGGCACAGAATAAAGCCACTTAGGACCCGGAGCTGGCCAGTTGGGGTCCACCAGTTCAGCCAAGTCCCTGTCAGTGTGGTAACCAGACACTTGGAGAAAGGGAAAGTTCTTCTGCAGGACATAGCGAGTGGTGAAATGACCTATTCCCAGGAAATCTGAGGTGCCTTTAATGTAGGTTTTCTCTTGCACTGAGAAGGTTGGTAATCTGGATGTCCCCAGGCCCTGCTGGGCGCTCTTCCTGCCTATCAGAATAATGGCAGGAAACACTTGTGAGGGGCAGGAAATTTGTTTGCTTTCCCTCACCAGCAGTAAATCAGAGAACTGTGAAATCCTGGAATGGTTTGGGTTGGAAGGGACCTGAAAGATAATCCCATTCCACCCCCTGCCATGGGCAGGGACACCTTCCACTGTCCCAGGTTGCTCCAAGCCCTGTCCAACCTGGCCTTGGACACTTCCAGGGATCCAGGGGCAGCCACAGCTTCTCTGGGCAACCTGTGCCAGGGCCTCCCCACCCTCCCAGGGAAGGAATTCTTATGGTTTTCCTGAGCTTGATGTAAGTGTAGAGGCCACTTGGGTTTGATTGCTTCTTTAAGATGAAAGAATCTTTCATCCTTTTAGTTTGGAGAAGTGAGTTGGGTGCAATACATGGAAAACCAGTGATTTAAAGTGTTCTGGTGTGTCCCCAAACTGCTCAGGAGCCGTGTCCGCCCTGGGGGCCATCGATGTCTCACCTGTGCCCTCATCCCTGACTAAAGTACATACTGGCCAGGAGCTATTCCCTTTAATGTGCTCAAAGTGTGGGATT